ATTTTTTATTTTGTCTTTTTTCTGCACTCATTTTTCGCTTCAAAAAAACGTCCATAACTCGGCGTCCAGAGGCGCTTGGCAGATAGCAAAAATAGATTTAAAATCGGCGTTCAGTGCTCTTTGAATGATGTAGATCTCATTTAGAAAGGCCACTTCGGTCTTCCCTTGTCAGGTTTTGCTCAACTATTGGAGGTCCGCACGCAAGATCCTTGCGTTGCGATTGCATAGTTCTTACGCTAAAGGAGGTACGTAATTGACACAAACTGTATATACTACCCTAAACCGTGGACTTTCTTTTTATGGCTCTCGACTTATTGAGCCTTGCATATCTAGGTGAAATGTCATATGCATTACAAATGTTTGCTTTTTCGAAGTTTTCTTCTCAAATTACATGAACTAGAAACAAATTTAGCTTTCTCGCAAAAACGAATTCGCGGGAATCCTAAGCTTATAGTACTCTCCGCTTCGATCTTACTTCACTTGCGAGATGGAAACCCTAAACAGCTGGCCATATTTTACTCTTACGACCACCCCTCTTCCCTAGTGACGACCTTGGCCGAGGTTTAACAATGCTTTTTGTAGAAGTGCCATACCCCCCCCCCCCTCTTCTGCACTATGCTAGTCAATGAGGTGTCTACGTCCTTTCCGTTCATGAAAAAAATCCTAACAATCTGTCACCATCGGCTTCCCTGGGCTCGCAAAAAAAATCTCACTTTCCCTTCGCCATCGATTCATACACCAAACGCAGCCGCGAAAAAACCCTCGATGGCACCTCTTCAACGTTCGTTCGTTTCCCCTAATCGATGTGAATGACATCGTTGTCGACCCTCTTCGTGGTTACCCGAAAACGTTGAGAGCGATGATGATGAGGGGGGGGGGGAGAATGCGTGGGGGAGGAGGTAAGCGGTTGTGCCGCTGCTTTGCTCGTCCACGATGCCCCCATGTGGTGCTCATTTGTTATTCCGTTCGATACGAAATCATTAATGTCTCACAATCCATCTGTAATGTGGGTGTTTGTATTCTCTCGGTCAAAGCATTCTTTCTTTTCTCCACTTCCAATTACTTTCTTCCAATTTTCTTCTGCTGTGATTATTCTTGTAGCTTTGAGAACCTATGAACTAAATTTTGAAAAGGTTACATCGATCAGAACTTTCAAAAATGCAGCACTACTAGTAAATCACGAAAGGATACAATCACTTGCTTCTGCAAAAGCTCCCAACGAATGTAAAATGCTATTTCGTTGCAGGACTCCCTGTGCAAAAGTTGGCGTGCAATCGTCTCCATGTCAAGCTTACTTTTTTGGTGTTTTTATCCTCTCTTTCCACATTCGCAAGAAATTTACTCATTACAGGGAATTTACTCATTTTTCTACCTTATTCAGTAATTCCTCCGGTAATTGGTGGAGAACTACTTTTTAACGGTCTCATAATCTGTGTAAAAAAAACAGAAGATCGAGTATTTTGATCTCACTTCTGAACGGCAAGCATTCATTTTGACCTAGTCTGAACCGCATTCTTATTCTGTAGTTGCGTCCTTTCCGTTGAAAAATTCATCTCTTTGTCGCTCGTGCTTCATTTTTCACATCGACGCTGTCAGCTTTTTCATGTTTGTTTTTTTTTTCGCATAGTCATGGCATGTTGCCAGAACCGTCTGCTGTATGTTTAGTCTGCTTTTCATCAGTTTCACAATCGAGATGGTTCTAGCTGCTATGATAGCTTACTTTTTGAGAGTTCCCTAGTTTTCAGGGGCAGAAAATCTTCTTGGTGATATGGTTCCTATGACTACCTCATTCTCCTTTTGTCAGTGATCTGTTGAAATTTCTTATCTTTTGATCGGGCAGTCAAATAACCTCAAACTAAAACATTATGAAAGTCGAAACCCATTCTGTCTCTTCAGTGGTTTGGCAGAGCAGATCATTCTTCCATTTTTTTCGCTATATGTGACTGTCGCAAAAAAAAGAGTGATAGAATTCTCTGAATGGTCTGATTGGTAGTCAATAAGTACGATATAAAGAAAATATGAAATCAATAGTGATAGTTAGTAATGGCTTTCTCCTATCAATCCACCGAAACTCTATCTGGTGCTACCGTTTGCGGAAGCCTACTATTTTTACCATGTTTCCGTTTACAGATGGTGATGGGTTACTTTCTCCGGTTACATCTTGTTACATGCCTTTTTGTCTTGTTAAGTCATGTCCGTTAAATATAATTCGATTGATGTATCCAGTAATTTGATTCGAATGAGGTGGTTTCACCTTTAGTGTGTCTCTATGTTTTTATCCGCTATCGGTTCCTGACAACCGTTTCACTTGCATAGCTTTGACATCAAACCACGACCTTCTATTTGGCCATTTGGCTCTGTCTGGATTTCTTCTGTTCCAGGCTTTCAGGCTAACTTTTGTATTTTAATGGAGCTTATTCCTCTAAATTTTACTCAAGATCTCGCTCGACTCACTAATCGTTTTTTTGACAAGGCAGTGATAGTGTTTTTTTATAGCCATTGTTCCCCATTGACAAGAAAATTTGAAATTAATGCTCGTATGATCATGCTTCATTAAAAAAGTGTATGGACAAAGTATCAGAAGACCCAGGCTAAATGATATTGAGTATTAAAGCACGCAAATGATGCATCGACTGTCAATGATTTACGCAAGCAAACCTCTTAGGCCCCGGGCAGACTTCACGCGATTTGATCGTCGCGACTGAATCGCGACGAACAACTGATACGAGTTCATTGCATGCCGGCCAGCTTGCATTTCGGTTGTGGTACTTTTCCAGCCCGAAATTTTCGAATGTGAAATGAAAATGAATGGAAATCTTGGCGATTAGATCGCGACGATTAAGTCGCGTGAAATCTGTCCGGGGCCTTAGGCAGGCGCTATACTCCTCGAGGAGTATAGCATGGCGATGGGCGATCGCCAATCGCTACGACGACTGGCGATCGCCAGTCGACAATACTGGCGACTGTGTCTTCTATGCGTATCGATCGCTAACAGTTATCACACGTCTAATCGATGCACATTTCATGTGTAGTCGCCAACACTATCAATTGGCGATCGCCAATCGCCAAACAAGTTACCACACGTCAGATCGATACGTATCAAACGTGTAGTCGCCGATATTGGCGATCGCCAGTCGCTACGACGGGCGATCGCCAATATCGGCGGCAAAAATCGCCGGTATTTGATGCATATCGATCGTCGCCATGCTGTAGTCCTCGAGGAGTATAGCGCCTGCCTTAGCCCTACTTGAAACTTCTACAATAGCGGAATGTTTGAATGGTTAGGAGCACTTAGAGCAAAAAAAAATCGAATTGCATCTATGCAGAAATTGGAATTATGCTTGGGCTTCCCCTATCCCTCGTGCCAGCGCAATTCCAGGGCGTGTTAGCGCCATGCCGGTACGTTGATCGATCAATACGGGACGCGTGAGTCCCCGCACGGCGCTAGCATGGCTTTGAATGAGCTGGAACGGCGCTGGCACAGCTTCGACACACAGGCGGGTGTGACGCAGCTGGTTAGCTCTCTCCCCCCTCTCTCCCTTCCCATTCAATTCCTCTTCTGCAAAATTCGATGACATTCGTGTTTTTGAAGCAAAGTGCAGTGCTACCAAGTTGACATTTTTTTGAAAGAAAAATTGTGATGCCCATCACGCCATTTTGGATTTTAAACAATATCCCACATGTAATTCTTAACAACGTATCTTACTAATGATGTGGAGATGCCTCTAGAATGATTCTGAACTTACATTATAGAAGTGTTTAGCGAAAACTAAGGGCCGCATGCACTAACCTCCCCGCTGAGGAGGGAATCGCAGCTTAGAAGAAAGCTTTATATTTCGAAACTCCAGATACCTGGATTTCACATTGTGTACCTATCCGTAAGTATTCCTACTACGCTCCACTATGAACATGTTGAACAGGAGCGAGAAGCTGCACGAACCGCATTTTCCAGCTTTTGTATGATCACTGATGATCCCCGGCGCTTTTCTTTAAATTCATTTTTCTTTCTCCGAAGTTAACGAAACACTTCCAAAGTTGTGCAGATCATCTGACACAACAGTGCTAAGCATGTTGCTGAGGAGAACAAATGAGTTTTTGAAAAGTTGAATTTTTCGGTAAACCTCAAATTTCGACCTGTGGATCATCGAAAATTTCACGACTTTAAAACATCATTTGTTCTTATCAGCAACATGCTTAGCAGTGTCGGTTTAGATAATCTGCACAACTTTGGAGGTTTTTCGTTGACTTCGGAGAAAGAAAAATGACTTTAAAGAAAAGCGCCGGGGATCATCAGGGATCATACAAAAGCTGGAAAATGCGGTTCGTATAGCTTCTCGCTCCTGTTCAACATGTTCATAGTGAAGGGTAGTAGGAATACTTACGGATATGTACACAACGTGAAATCCAGGTATCTGGAGTTTCGAAATATAAAGCTTTCTTATAAGCTGCGATCGCCTCCCCGCGGGTATGTTAGTGCATGCGGCCCTAAAAGTAGAATCACTTTGAACAAAATTTGGTAGGCCCTTTTTCGTTCTCAGACAAAGAATCGAATCGATACGTGCCAAAGCTAATCCACAAAATCGTTTTCTGGTTGAAGACCCCCACAAAATATGCAAAGTGCGATTCTTAATGTAGCGTGCAATGTTCGCGCGGTCGCTTTGACGTGTCAGCGGCTCTGCGTCGTTGTTGAGTGCACGCGATTTGAATTAAGATTCGCACTTTTCACTACCGAAATGGGTTCATCAAGACGAAGAAGTTTTTATTTACTATTCTCGAGCAGAAGATTGCCTTATTTGGCACGTTCGTAGTTCCAAATTCAATTTGTAACTATATATCGCTCCTATATTTTCTCCTTTATCCATGCTCGCGAATTTTTTGTCGTTGTCTATGCGATGTGAAATGAAATCCGCAAATCCTTTTTTCCAGATTCGAGTGTCGAATGCAATTTTCTCAGCTCAAGGACCATTGAGCCACGAGTACTCTGCGTTGATACCACTGCTTCGACGACACCTGTTGTCCTGTTACCGCCGCATTTGAGGTGAGGATTTATGGCATTATTAAAGGAAATTGAGTGATTAATTGATGTGATTTGACGTAGCCATTAACCGGAATGACTAGTAAAAGATGAGTACTGATTGATTTTAGAGATTTTACGCAAGCAGTTTTTGTTGAAAGAGGCTTCAAGCCAGTTGGGCTGTTGTTTTTGTTTTGAACGAGTTGGGGGAACTTCGTGTACACTTGATTTATTGAGTTTCTAGAATTTCTTACTACATTTATAGTTTGACTAATCCATATTATTGTTCACTGAGGGCTTCATTCATATTATTGTTTTTTTTTTTGTCGCCAATTTTTACGAATGGCTCAAATACCATGCTTGCAAGGGAGTTATTGCTTTGCTGGCAGGGTATGTTTTGATATCCGGTCTAGCGACCTCGCTAAACGATGATACCTGTAAGCAACAGTGGCAATGTTTTATTTCTATTTATGTTCCTATTTTGTATTTTTGAGTCACACAAAACCAATTGCAAATAATGTAGTGAGGTTAGGACCTTTTAATCGATCGTGTTTAGCATAGGTGCGATAAGGTGAGAATGACCTCTCCAGGGTGAAGGGGGTCACGGTGGTCGCAGCCCCTCCAGGGTGAAGGGGGTCAGAAGGGGTGGGACGGGGGGGGGGGGGGGGTTGGGGGGGGGGGGGTGAGTGCGTGTGTGAATGTGGGTGTGCAATTACACACAACGCGCCGCCAGGAACGGCATCGTTCCTTTCACAACCTCATTTTATGAGGACCGATTTTATAAACGGTCTGAAAAAGTGAGTGTGGTCAAAATTATTGGATGGTACACAAGTGCAAAACTGAGGTTTTTGCAGGCGTTGTTCGAGAAGGAAAGGTTATACAACGCTTGTCACTTGCTTCATACGAATATGGGATGAAGGACCGGACCGACCGATGACTATATTCTTGTCTTAATGTTGCCGTTTCATGCTTTGTAATTTAATGAAAATATTGAAAGATGACGACTATCAACTGTTGTGAGGCCATCAGAAGTTGTAATAGAAAGTGGTTCTGAGAAGTGTGATGATAGGAAGTATCAAAAATTATGAATGATGAAGCACGTAGAAAGAAGTAAAATATTGTCTGCCCAGGAAACTCTGAAAGATACAGTAAAATTATTGCATGTATAAATGGCCATTCTTGGTAAATGTGCACGTACAGGGCTTTACACCCTGAGTGTCCCACCCGCCCCGCTAGGACGCCACGCTTAGGTCCGCGCAGCGTTCGTGGCACTGGCTGCGCGTCGACTGAAGCTTGGCGAAATCCGGGCGATACGCAGCAAACGCCGCGCGCGGCCTGAGCGAGGCGGCCGCGTTGGAGGAGCCGCGCAAGCGAAACTTGCGACTCTCAGGTTGAAAAGCCTTGTAAATGATAAGAAGGAAACACACGGGAGCAGGATTGGAACCTTCTCGTTGTCTTCTAAAGAAGGCATTGGATGACAATGGAAGAAACAAGGACAGGAAAATCGGAACGCCTGACTGCCACGGAAAATTTATTCCGCTGAAGACTACTGGACACTGCGTAATACTGAACTTGTTAACTTCGGCAATTGGAAAAATTAGGGTTGTTGAAACAAAGTGAGGTTGTAACTACTTCTTGTTTAAATTTAGATTTAGCATAGGAGATATTTGTACGAAAATTGTTTGTGTATCGGAAAGGAGGGAGAAGATTTATGGGCAAAATTTGAAAATTCAATTAAAAATTCATAACGTTTGTAGATGAACAGCTAGTACAAGGAAATGCTCACCATTGAAACCGTTTCTTCCTCTGCTTTCAGAAAATATATAGTTTGTCTGGGATCCGTTGAAAAAAGTGCGTGGTGAAGGGGGTGCCTAGAGATTTTTGGAGATTTTCGAGTTTTCAACATAAAAAAATTCATAACTTCTGTAGATGAACAGCTAGTACAAGGAGATGCTCACCATTAGAACCGTCTCATTCTCCGCTTTCAGAAAATATATAGTTTGTAAGGGATCCCTTGCAAAAAGTGCCTGGTGAAGGGGGGGTGAGAATTTTATAACGGGAGTTCTCAGGCAGAGGCCTTTTCATCATTGTAAAAAGACGTCTACCTGAGAACTCCCGTTATAAAATTCTCACCCCCCCCTTCACCAGGCACTTTTTGCAAGGGATCCCTTACAAACTATATATTTTCTGAAAGCGGAGAATGAGACGGTTCTAATGGTGAGCATCTCCTTGCACTAGCTGTTCATCTACAGAAGTTATGAATTTTTTAATGTTGAAAACTCGAAAATCTCCAAAAATCTCTAGGCACCCCCTTCACCACGCACTTTTTTCAACGGATCCCAGACAAACTATATATTTTCTGAAAGCAGAGGAAGAAACGGTTTCAATGGTGAGCATTTCCTTGTACTAGCTGTTCATCTACAAACGTTATGAATTTTTGATTGAATTTTTTCAAATTTTGCCCATAAATCTTCTCCCTCCTTTCCGATACACAAACAATTTTCGTACAAATATCTCCTATGCTAAATCTAAATTTAAACAAGAAGTAGTTACAACCTCACTTTGTTTCAACAACCCTAATTTTTCCAATTGCCGAAGTTAACAAGTTCAGTATTACGCAGTGTCCAGTAGTCTTCAGCGGAATAAATTTTCCGTGGCAGTCAGGCGTTCCGATTTTCCTGTCCTTGTTTCTTCCATTGTCATCCAATGCCTTCTTTAGAAGATAACGAGAAGGTTCCAATCCTGCTCCCGTGTGTTTCCTTCTTATCATTTACGTGCACATTTACCAAGAATGGCCATTTATACATGCAATAATTTTACTGTATCTTTCAGAGTTTCCTGGGCAGACAATATTTTACTTCTTTCTACGTGCTTCATCATTCATAATTTTTGATACTTCCTATCATCACACTTCTCAGAACCACTTTCATTACAACTTCTGATGGCCTCACAATAGTTGATAGTCGTCATGTTTCAATATTTTCATTAAATTACAAAGCATGAAACGGCAAATTCGTATGAAGCAAGTGACAAGCGTTGTATAACCTTTCCTTCTCGAACATTACGCCTGCAAAAACCTCAGTTTTGCACTTGTGTACCATCCAATAATTTTGACCATACTCACTTTTTCAGACCGTTCATAAAATCGGTCCTCATAAAATCGGTCTAAGGACATAACTGGAAGAATGCCACGATTGCCCTTCACTTGCTTCTTGACTGTAGAGCCTACAAATAGGTTGATAGCGTGGTCATTTTATCAGGCATAACCTTACCTCACTGTTGATTTTTTTGTCGGTTTTGGTGAAGGGGGTCACCTTGGTTTCCGGCTCAGGGGTGAAGGGGGGGTGAGCAAATTCTCACACTATCGCACCTATGGTGTTTAGTGATAATATATTTCCGGCTGTGAATGTTGCTGCAGATAGGCTGTAAATAGTTGTTAATAGATGCTTATCAAGCTGGACTTTCATTGTAACTAGTTTTTTTTCTTGTTATTGATATTAACTTTTGCAGCGGGAAGCAGTGGCTGCTTCCCGCTGTGATCAATGTTTTTTTATGACTGATAACTATGAGCTCCACTTCATTGTCTAATATCTTAGGGTTACAAATGCAAATCATTCTCGAGCCAGTGTTGTTCTAGAAGCTTATGATATTATCTGGGACTCGTGCCAGAAATTATTTGATTTTTGCTGACAGTAAAAGCTCCGTTCTATGCATCCGCGTGAGTCTGCCAATTTTTTCTATCAAATTCGCGCAGTATGACGTTTTTAGTCTTGTAAGATAGCACAATTGTTTCAGCAAATTTCTGATTCTTACAAAAATCATATAGCTGCGAAATATGCTATGTATATCTATGGCTTTTTTATGGCTAGCAGTGATCAATAGCTGTTTTCTCAAATTATTTGCTCTAGAAGGTGTGCCTGATCGAGAGTGTTCGAGTGCACTCTTTCTTGCACACAGCAGACGCGAGCTCATCCAAACAGAGATTCGTAGCACGTTTGTGTACCGAAGAGTTTCTTGTACTTTGCTAAAATAAACTGTTTCGCACTAGATTTTATGAGCGAAATTCATTTCGACTAGTATTTCTGGATTTTTCAGATGGGTTTTCCTTTTTGTCTGTTCAGAAACAGGTGCTAGAAATGCAGTATAACGCTTTCGAGAACTGTGAGAAGTTTTTGTGAAATCGCGAGCATTGACGAGTTCTATTCTGCGTTTGCGTACCCCCTTGCTTTTGCATTTAGATGGCTTCGTTATCCTGTATGCGTGCGAAACGTTCTGTAGACGTGTGTTTTCGGTAGCATTAGTCAAAATGTCCACGTCATTTTCTGCTAGGAACGTTCAGCACTTTGTCCTTTCCAGGAATGTCAGTCTTCTCTATAAGCGGATTGTTTGTCAGCGTAAGGCTTCTCCATTCGTTTAGAGAAGTTTATTCAAGAAGCTCGTATTTTCTGTTTTTCTTTTTCGAATGCATTTCTCTTCCCTTAGCATACTTTATGCACACATCAACTAGCAGTTGTGTGCCATTGAAAAATGAGATTTGACTGGTTGTAAATCAGCACGCCCTACACCTTGCAGCGGATTGAAAAAAATTCTACGCAGAGCGATGTATCAGATTTCTAACAGAAATTTTCGACTCTTGTTTAATTGCTGCACGAATTTCCGGTTTTGTCTGTTCGTCAGTAAGAGCATGTGCTTGATGAGAGAGAACTAGTGCGTTACACACTGGCTTTTGACAAAGGGTTGCTGGATGAATGGGCAGATGGGAAGAAATACGCTAATTCTGATGCTTATCGGTTGTATAGAAGAAACTTGTATCTTTTATACGCTTTGATGCGCTAATTCGTTGGAATTTGATCTTTTGTGACTCAAAGAAACCTTTATACCGCGTTTTTGTACTTTTTTCCCACTTTTCTCTTCCTTGCATTGGCAACGAGTTCCAATGCAAGGATCCCTTACTTTTGCATGTATGTATCCCTTACTTTCGTATTTGCATTAGACTCTTATCAATACTCGCACAGGCACAAAAG